GGAGGAGGAGGAGAAATAGGAGGAGGGGGAGGAGGAGGAGGAGGAGGAGGAGAAGGAGGAGGAGGGAGGGAGGGAGGAGAACCTCTGTGATGAGATCGTTGGGGTGGGCGATCGGGTGCCCGAGGGAAAAAGCTCCCCCCGAGGCCTCCACGGCCGCGAGCTCGCGCCCGCTGCACGCCACCACCGAGACGAGCATGCTGGCCCGGGTGCCGAGATGCCAGATGTCGGACGACGTGAGCTGTTCGGCTCCGCGGCCGCCGCCGCTCCTCATGTTCTCGGCCCCGTGGGGGCCGCTATCGGGCCCCGGGGCCATCAGAAGCGGGCCCGGGGCGGACAACTGCTCCCCGGGGGGGCAGCGGTCGGGACCCGGCCGCGCACCGAAAGAGCACGTCGTCGGATGCCTGCGGGCCCGGCCGAAGGCGGGGCGAGGGCAGCTCCGCTCGCGCAGCTCGGGCCAGAACAGCAGGCATACATACCCAGGAGGCACCTGCGGTCAGGAACTGTTGCTCAGCGGGTGGCCGCGGCGGCCCTGGCGACGCGCCAAATGCCTCGCACGAGCGCACAGCGCGAGGGCTCCGCCCCCCGCGGCGGGAGGCCGGAGAGAGCTCGGGGCGTCGACGCCTGGGGCGTCGGAAGCGGGCCGCGCGCTGCGCCGAGGTGCGGCGGGCCAGGACTGTCGAAGCGACACGCGGAGCCGAAGCTGGTATTGAAACGTGGATCCAAAGTATATTGAGGGCCCCGAGGGGCCTTCGCCGGGCCCCGGGACCGTCAAAAAAATGACTGGGGATGAGAAACCGGTCCCGGGGAATGGGTCGAGACTTCTGGGGGCCCCGAAATCACGGCATCGGATCTCTGGGACCGTCACCTGGGCCAAGGTCCTCCCGGGCCCGGGCAGGGCGGTGGTGCGGCGGTGCCTTCGGCGGGCGCACGCGTGTTCCATGGCGGCTCCCGGAGGCGCCCCCCGCGCGAAGTCGCGCGGGTTTCCGAGGCCCCCCACGAGTCTCACCAGCGTCCGGAGGCTTCCAAAAGAGGGGGGGCGGGAGCAGGAGGAGCAGCAGCAGCCCGAGATCTCCGGTCGCTTGCCACGGCGGCCAGCCCCGAGGCCGCCTCCCGCCATGGGCCCTATCGGCGTGGGAGAGGGGCCCAGACCCCCGACGTCGTGCTTCCTTCGCAACGTCGACCCCATGGGTCGTCCCTTGACGGCCGCCGGGGGCTGGGCGAGGGCGCCCTCTGCAGGGGCCGAAAATGGCGGAAGACCTTCCGTCGCGATGGCTTCCCGGCGCGAGGGGGTCTGGAGGAGCGGGGAGGGCGGGGCGGAGAGGCAGCCCAGACCCCCGACGCAAGGATTTGTTCCTTTCCGTCGACCCCCAGCGGTCCCGACCCTTCCCCCATGGCCGGCTCTGCATCCCGAGTCGTTTTTGGACGCTCCCGGGGCCCGGTGAGGGCCCCCCAGAGGTTGACAATTAGGAGAAACCTCCCGTCCTGATGTTTTCATCACTCGAGGGGGTCTGGCTTCGCAGCGCGATGGCTTCGCCGTCGCGATTGCTTCCCGGCGCGAGGGGGTCGATAGGAGCGGGAGGGCGGGGCGGAGAGGCAGCCCAGACCCCCGACGCAATGATTTTTCCTTTCCGTCGACCCCCAGCGGTCCCGACCCTTCCTCCATGACCGGCTCTGCATCCCGAGTCGTTTTTGGACGCTCCCGGGGCCCGGTGAGGGCCCCCCAGAGGTTGACAATTAGGAGAAACCTCCCGTCCTGATGTCTTCATCACTGCCCCCCTCGTCGCCCCAGGGCCAGCCTCGTCGCCCTGGGCCGCTCCTCGTCCCAGGCCGTTCCCCTGACGGGGCCGAAAGCGTTTTTTTTGTTTGCAATGACAAAGCGTGTGATCCCAGGACGGAGGTTGTGAAAAGAATGAAGACGGAGGTTTTTACCTAACAGCTTTTGCTGATAGGTTTCTAGTGGTGTCAAAAGAAAGCATCTTGACGCCCCAGGGGGGTCGACCAATGGGCGGGAACCGGACAAAACCCGCAGCCCCAGGAATCCTTACGAATCCTTAGGAATTCTTAGGAATCCTTAGGAATGCATTCCCAGAACACCATTCCCAGGCGGCCACATTCTGAATGCCCGGAGCCAACTGTAGGCCACTTCGTGTTCTTCGTCTTCCCAGAACACCATTCCCAGGCCGCATTTTGAATGCCCGGAGCCAATTGTAGGCCACTTCGTGTTCTTCGCGTTCCCAGAACACCAGTCCTGTGCCATATTTTGAATGCCCGAGCTGAGGCAGGCTGAGGCCGAGGCAGGCTGAGGCCGAGGCAGGCTGAGGCTGAGGCTGAGGCACGCCGAGGCAGGCTGAGGCTGAGGCTGAGGCAGGCTGAGGCTGAGGCTGAGGCTGAGGCTGAGGCCGAGGCAGGCTGAGGCTGAGGCTGAGGCAGGCTGAGGCTGAGGCTGAGGCAGGCTGAGGCTGAGGCTGAGGCTGATGCAGGCTGAGGCTGAGAGGCTGACGCTGAGGCTGAGGCAGGCTGAGGCTGGCTGAGGCTGAGGCTGAGGCCGAGGCAGGCTGAGGCTGAGGCTGAGGCAAGCCGAGACAGGCTGAGGCTGAGGCTGAAGCTGAGGCAGGCTGAGGCTGAGGCTGAAGCTGTGGCTGAGGCTGAGGCAAGCTGCGGCTGAGGCAGGCTGAGGCTGAGGCTGATGCAGTCTGAGGCTGAGGCAGCTGAGGCTGAGGCTGAGGCTGAGGCCGAGGCAGGCTGAGGCTGAGGCCGAGGCAAGCCGAGGCAGGCTGAGGCTGAGGCTGAGGCTGATGCTGAGGCAGGCTGAGGCAGGCTGACGCTGAGGCTGATGCAGGCTGAGGCTGAGGCAGGCTGAGGCTGAGGCTGAGGCAGGCTGAGGCTGAGGCTGAGGCCGAGGCAGGCTGAGGCAAAGGCCGAGGCAAGCCGAGGCAGGCTGAGGCTGAGGCTGAGGCTGAGGCTGATGCTGAGGCAGGCTGAGGCTGAGACAGGCTGAGGCTGAGGCTGATGCAGGCTGAGGCTGAGGCCGAGGCAGGCGAATCCTTCGGAATCCTTAGAATTCCCAAGAAATCCCTAGGAATCCCTAGGAATCCCTAGGAATCAGGTTTCCTTAGGATTCCGATGGATTCCTAAGGATGCCTAAGGATGCCTTAGGAATCCCTAGGAATCCTTAGGATTCCATTGGATCCTAAGGCCGTTGCCACTGCGACTGTCATTGCGAACGCGACTGCGACTGCGAGAACAGCAGAATTCTACAACTGGATTCTCACCTGAATCTTAAGGGGAATGCTTCCAGATATGCTTATACACATCGCTGTTAGGTTGCTTCGCCGGGATAACTCTATGTTTTCGGCCTCGAGGGGCCCTCGCTGGGCCCCTGGACCATCAAAAAACGACTCGGGATGGGAAACCGGCCCCAGGGAATGGGTCGAGACTTCTGGGGACGCCGTCCCGAACAAAAATCACGACATCGGATCTCTGGGGACGTGATCGCGTCGTGAAAAAAATCAGGACGGAGGTTTCTCGTCGTTCACGGCCTCAAGAGGCCCTCGCCAGGCCCCGGGGCCGCCAAAAAACGACTCAAGATTGGGAGCCGGTCCTGGGGAAAGGGTCCCTTATATACAAAACAAAAAGGAAGCAACAGAACAACAAAAAACAATCGCCTTGAGCTTCTCAGGGAACGTCTGGCCCCGGTCAATCCAGACCCGGGTCAGCCAGGCCTTGCAGGATCCTGCAAGATCCTGTGCCCAAACCCGTGTCAATGCGAACGACCCTGCAGGATCGTGCAGGATCCTGCACCCAAGCCAAGGTCAATGCGACCCTGGCCCTGCAGGATCCTGCAAGATCGGGTGCTCTGGCTGACCCCCGTTTGCATTCCCAGACATGCGACGTCCTGATTTTTTCAAGACGGCGTCCCTGGAAATCCAGACCCTTTCCCCGGGACCGGTTTTTCATCCTAAATCGTTTTTTGACAATCCTGGGGACTGGCGCGGGCCCCCCAAAGCCGAAAACAGCGAAAAACTGTCGTCCTGATTTTTGTTACGACGCGATCCCGCTTGCATTGACCCCCGTCTCGCTGGGAGGTCCGCGGAGGGCGCTCTGGCTGACCCCCGTTCGCATTGGCCCCCGTCTCTTGGGCCCCGGGCTTCTCAGCTCGCTGGAGATCCGGGGCGGGCAACTTGCCCTCCCCGGTGCCCCAGCAAATCTCGGCCTCGAGGGGCCCTCGCCGGGCCCCTTGGGCCGTCAAGAAGCGACTCGGGACGACGAGCCGGCCCCGGGGAAAGGGTCGGGACTTCCGGGGGCGCCGGCCGGAACAAAAGCAGGGCGTCGCAGGTCTGGGATATACGGTGAGGGCAGTGGACAAGGAGCCCCTAGAGAAGGAGTCCAGGGTCTGGAAGCCAGTGGGATTCCAAGCGCGGCTTGGCCATGGATCTCACCGCCGCCGTCATCAGACAAGGAAGCCGCCAGGGTCTGCAGCATCCTGGGCGCGTTCCTTAACCGACGCCCCCACCGCAGTCGGGGCAAGGAGAGGGGCAACCTGGGGGGAGAAGCAGGGGCGGGAAAGGGGGAGAGAGAGAGGAAGGGCCAAGCTGGTTTCCCAGAGATCCGATGTTGTGATTTTCTCCATAGTCCCCAAAAATCTCGACCCATTCCCCGGGACCAGCTTCTCGTCCTGAGTCCTTTTTTGACGGTCCCAGGGCCCGGCGAGGGCCCCTCGAGGCCGCTGGGCCTCGGGGCCCTCGCTGGGCCTCGCTGGGCCTCGGGGCCGTCAAAAACCGACTCGGGACGAAAAACCGGTCTCGGGGAAAGGGTCGGGACTTCCGGCCGGGGCCGCCGCCCCGAAAAAAATCAGGAGGTCGCATGTCTGGGGAGGCATGGGAGGTGGAGGGCTGTGGGAGGGGGGGAGGGGGCGAAGGGAGGGAGAGGGGCAGCTTGGGGGGGAAGCAGGGGCGGGACAGGGAGAGGGGAGGAAGGGCCAAGCGAGGTGCGCTCGCGCCTCATCTGACATCCTGTCTCTCCCTCCCATGCCCTCCCATGGCGCTGGTCTTCCTCCATCCGCGGACGCGTGTCATAGCTGACCTGCGACGCCCACAGAAAGACCCTTTCGTGTTATGCGCAATCAAGAAACGGGAAGCTGCGCGCCACAGGAGGAAGAGGAGTTGGTGGGTGAGCGGGGAAGATGAGCGGGAGGACAGGGAGGATGACGAACAACAGCAGCAGGAACCAAAGCGGACGGGTTGGGAGGACCAGGAGGGCCCGGGGAAGGCGGAGGAGGGGATTCCGAGCGGGGCGACCCCGCCCCCAGCCCTGTCCTGCAGGGACTGCCAGGGGAGGGAGGGAACAAGGAAGTGGGGGGGCATGGAAGGGGGGGGCATGGGAGGGGGGGGCTCTGGGAGGGGGAGGGCTCTGGGAGGGGGGGGGGGCCAAGGGAGGGAGAGGGGCATCTTGGCGGGGGGAAGCTGGGGCGGGAAAGGGAGGGGGAGGAAGGGCCGCGCTGGGGGCATCTCGGAGGGGGAGCAGGGATGGGAAAGGAAGAGGGAGGGCGGGCGGAGGGGAGAGGCCTCCGCCGGCGCCCCCGCTCGGCGCCGCCAGCCCCTCGGGCGATCAGGCGCAGAAAGCGTGCGCAGGCACTCCCCGTCGGCGACCTCCGGTCTGGCCCGGTCCAGCCCGTGCGCAGGCAGCGCCCCGGAGTCCGCGGCCCAGATCTTCGCCGTCCGGTCCTCCGAGGCGGTCAGCACCCGCTGCCCGTCCGCCGAGAACACGGCGGACGTGACGGGGCCCCCGTGGCCCTCCAGCGTCCGCAGGCACTGCCCGGAGTCCGCGGCCCAGATCTTCGCCGTCCGGTCGCACGAGGCGGTCAGCACCCGCTGCCCGTCCGCCGAGAACACGGCGGAATTCACGTAGTGTTGGTGGCCCTCCAGCGTGCACAGGCACTCCCCGGAGTCCGCGGCCCAGATCTTCGCCGTCCCGTCGCACGAGGCGGTCAGCACCCGCTGCCCGTCCGCCGAGAACACGGCGGACGTGACGGGGCCCTCGTGGCCCTCCACCGTGCGCAGGCACTCCCCAGAGTCCGCGGCCCAGATCTTCGCCGTCCCGTCCTGCGAGGCGGTCAGCACCCGCTGCCCGTCCGCCGAGAACACGGCGGACGTCACGTAGCTCCAGTGGCCCTCCAGCGTCCGCAGGCACTCCCCGGAGTCCGCGGCCCAGATCTTCCCCGTACAGTCGCACGCGGCGGTCAGCACCCGCTGCCCGCCCGCCGAGAACACGGCGGACCTCACGGCCCGCCGGTGGCCCTCCAGCGTGCGCAGGCACGCCCCGGAGTCGGCGTCCCAGATCATCGCCGTCCCGTCCTCCGAGGCGGTCAGCACCCGCTGCCCGTCCGCCGAGAACACGGCGGACCACACGATGTCCCGGTGGCCCTCCAGCGTCCGCAGGCACTCCCCGGAGTCCGCGTCCCAGATCTTCGCCACCGCCACGTCGCACGCCACTATGCGGCGCCTCCTGGTGACCACGAGGGTCAGCTCGCTGCCGCCCTGGACCCCGATCTCGCCCAGCGTCGCGGCGCCGCACAGCTCCGCCCCACCGAACAGGACGCGTAGTTTGTGGCCGGCCGCCTCCTCCTGCTCGGGGACCGCCGCGAGGAGGTCGCCCAGCTGCCACGACGGGTCGGCCTCCCTTCCCGGGAGGGTTTCCCTCCTCCTCCTCCTCCTCCGCCGCCTCCTCGCCGTCCTCTTTCGCCCTCTCTCTCTCTTCGCCCGCGCCGCCTCGCCCTGCCCCCCGCGCCGTGCGCGTGGAAGCGCGGACGCCGAGCAGCCGGCCCCGCAGCCAGAAGCGGCCAGGCACACCGAGGCAGGTGCCCGGCGGGGCCGAGACCCGGCCCCCCCCCGCGCCGAGGGGCAACGCCAAAGTGGGGGCCTCCTTCTCTCCCGTCTTTCCTTCGCGCCCGGCAGCTGTCCAGCCTATCGGGGCGCCTTGGAATTCCGGCGGCCGCGCCCCGCCGAGAGCCTCCCAGGGGCTCCCTGGATCGCCCCGCGCGGCCGCTGGAGGCCCGAGTTGCAGTTGTGGCGCAGCACTGACTCGTCGGCGGTGCATCGCCGACAGATCGGCGAATTCGGCTTCCGAAGGCAGATCCGCGCGCTCCTGGGCGGGGGCGAGCTGTCGGTGGGGGTCGATGCTGCCCCCCTTCTCCTGAGGCTGTCGCCCCCAGCCCGCCCTCCTCACGCCCCCCATCCCGGCGTGGAGCCCCAGCCGCGGTGGGCCCGCCGATCGGCGGCCAGCTTTGGCCGCCGCTGCAGAGGCGAGCGCAGCACGCGCGCAGACGCGCCAAGAGGCTCGCAGAGGCCCGTAGGCGAGCAGGCGCGCAGACGCGCGCAAGCGCGCAGCACACGCGCAGCAGACGCGCGCAGAGGCGCGCAGAGGCGCACAGAGCAGACGCGCGCAGGCGCGCAGAGGCTCGCGAAGAGGAGGCGCGCGCAGGCCCGCAGAGGCGCGCGCAGTATCTCGCGCAAGGGCACTGCAGACGCACGCGGGGGCGCGCAGAGGCGCGCGCAAAGGCGCGCAGGGGCGCAGAGGCGCAGGGGCAAGTGGGGGGCGCAAATCCCTTTCGGCCCCTCTCCCCGCCCCTCGCCGGCGCCGCGCAGCTCAGGCTGCCCGGAGCCGGCGGCGCTGGGCCAGCAGCGCGCCGAGACACTGGATGCTCGACCTCACTCGACCATGGCGTGCTGGCGCCCTTCCCGCGCGGAGGCCGGCCTGCACCGCGCGCACCTCGGAGCGCGCCTGTACCGTGCTCGGGGATCTTCTGACCCGGGTCAATCCAGACTCGGGTTAGCAGGAAACCAGAAAAACTGCAATGCAGGAAAAAAAAACCTGCAACGCAGGTCTTCGCAGACCTGGGCCAGCCCATGTGCGCGGCCGCCTCGCGGCCACGAGCGGCTCGCCAACCCGGGTCAGCCAGAGGGGCTCGTCGCAGGATCCTGCAGGATCTGGTGCCCTGGCTGAGCCCCGACGTGCGCGAGTGCGGCCCGTGCCGGGTGCCCCGGCCACGCCCGAGCGTGCCGGCCGCCGCCGCCGGGGGCGGCCCGTTGCCTGCCACACGGCGGCGGCCACCGTGCGCCTCGTGCGCCCAGCGTCAGGTCAGGCGGATTCAGGACGAAACACAAAGAATTATCACACAATGCCCGACTATGTTTTGACCGTTTTCGAGATACCCGGAAATTGTGCGAAAATTGTCCCAGCTATCCCAAATGCCCCCCCCCAAAAAAAATTACAACCGGAGTGCAGTATCCCCAAACAGGGTTTTTAGACCCACTGCGGTTTCCAAGGTCGATTGCGTGCCCGTCTAGTGCGGGCTGGCATGGCATGTTAAACATGCCTGCTCCTCCTCCTCCTCCTCCTCCTCCTCCTCCTCCTCCTCCACCTCCTCTTCATCCCGAACGGCATCTCGGAGCCCAGAGTTGCGAGGATGTCTCCAGCCTAACGGGCTGGACCACCTCGCGCGCGGCATTTCGGAGCCCAGAGTTGCGACGGTGTCTCGGGCGAAGCGTGCAGCGAGGAAGTCTCAGGCGAAACGGGCCGGACCACCTCGAGCGCGGCGTCTCAGAGCTCAGAGTTGCGTGGGCCTCCTGGGGCCTCCTGGTGACCTCCTGGTGACCTCCTGGGGCTTCCTCCTGGGCCTCCTGTGGCCTCGTGGACCCCACCTGGGGCTTCCTGAAGCCTCTTGGGGCTCCCAGGGGGTGATGTCTAACATGTGGCCGTCGGCCCCAAGAGCAGCAAAAATCAATGAATCGACACCGGATGTGTATTAACTTGACACGTTCTGATAGGGGGCCTCCTGGGGCCTCCTGGGAGCCTCCTGAGAATCTCCTGCGGATCCCTGGGGCCTGTCCTGGGCGTCCTGCGGCCTCCCGAAGCTCTCTGGGGCCTTGTGGGGCTCCCAGGGTCCCAGGGGGAATGTGTAACATGTGGTCTTCTGGGCCCCCAGGCTGGACCACCTCTTGCGCAGCATCTGAGAGCTCAGAGTTGCGAGAATGTCTTGTGCGAAACAGACCGGACCACCTTGCGCACGGCATCTCAGAGCTCAGAGTTGCGAGGATGTCTCAGGCGAGATGGGCCGGACCACCTCGCGCAGGGCATCTCGGAGCCCAGAGTTGCGAGGATGTCTCCAGCGTAACGGGCTGGACCACCTCGCGCGCGGCATCTCGGGCGAAACGTGCTGCGAGGAAGTCTCAGGCGAAACGGGCCGGACCACCTCGAGCGCGGCGTCTCAGAGTTCCGAGTGGCGGGGGCCTCCTGGGGCCTCCCGAGACCTCCTGGTGACCTCCTGGAGCTTCCTCATGGGCCTCCTGTGGCCGCCTGGACCCCATCTGGGGCTTCCTGAAGCCTCTTGGGGCTCCCAGGGGGGGATATCTAACCTGTGGCCGTCGGGGCCCCTCAAATGGGAGGGGGGCCACAAGAGCAGGAAAAATCAACGAATCGACACCGGATGTGTATTAACTTGACACGTTCTGATAGGGGGCCTCCTGGGGCCTCCTGGGAGCCTCCTGGGAATCTCCTGCGGACTCCTGGGGCCTGTCCTGGGCGTCCTGCGGCCTCCCGAAGATCTCTGGAGCCTCCTGGGGCTCCAGGGTCCCAGGGGGAATGTGTAACATGTGGTCTTCTGGGCCCCCAGGCTGGACCACCTCTTGCGCAGCATCTGAGAGCTCAGAGTTGCGAGAATGTCTTGTCGAAACGGGCGGGACCACCTTGCGCACGGCATCTCGGAGCTCAGAGCTGCGAGGATGTCTCAGGCGAGATGGGCCGGACCACCAGAGTTGCGACGATGTCTCGGGCGAAACGTGTTGCGAGGAAGTCTCAGGCGAAACGGGCCGGACCACCTCGAGCGCGGCGTCTCAGAGCTCAGAGTTGCGTGGGCCTCCTGGGGCCTCCTGGGGCCTCCTGGTGACCTCCTGGGGCCTCCTCCTGGGCCTCCTGTGGCCTCCTGGACCCCACCTGGGGCTTCCTGAAGCCTCTTGGGGCTCCCAGAGGGGGGATGTCTAACCTGTGGCCGTCGGGCCCCCCCAAAATGCGAGGGCCACAAGAGCAGGAAAAATCAACGAATCGACACTGGATGTGTACTAACTTCACACGTTCTGATAGGGGGCCTCTCAGAGCTCCGAGTTGCGGGGGCCTCCTGGTGTCTCCTGGGGCCTCCTGGGGACCTCCTGGGGCTTCCTCCTGGGCCTCCTGTGGCCTGCTGAACTCCACCTGGGGTTTCCTGAAGCCTCTTGGGGCTCCCAGGGGGGGATATCTAACCTGTGGCCGCTTGGGCCCCTCAAAATAAAGAAGGGGGCCACAAGAGCACGGAAAATCAACGAATCGACACCGGATGTGTATTAACTTGACACGTTCTGATAAGGGGGCATCCTGGGGCCTCCTGGGAGCCTCCTGGGAATCTCCTGGGGACCCCTGGGGCCTGTCCTGGGCGTCCTGCGCCTCCTGGAGCTCTCTGGGGCCTCCTGGGGCTCCCAGGGGGGATATGTAACATGTGGTCGTCTGGGCCCCCAGGCTGGACCACCTCTTGCGCGGCATCTGAGAGCTCAGAGTTGCGAGAATGTCTTGTGCGAAACAGGCCGGACCACCTTGCGCACGGCATCTCAGAGCTCAGAGTTGCGAGGATGTCTCGGGCAATCGGCCGGACCACCTCGCGCAGGGCATTTCAGAGCTCAGAAGTTCGAGGATGTCTCAGGCGGGCTCCCAGGGTCCCAGGGAGGATATGTAACATGTGGTCTTCTGGGCTCCCAGGCTGGACCACCTTGCGCACGGCATCTCAGAGCTCAGAGATGCGAGGATGTCTCAGGCGAGACGGGCCGGACCACCTCGCGCAGGGCATCTCAGAGCTCAGAAATTAGAGGATGTCTCAAGCGAAACAGGCCGGACCACCTCTCGCGCAGCATCTCCGAGGTCAGATTTTCGAGGATGTCTCAGGCGAAACGGACCGGACCACCTCGCGCAAGGCATCTCAGAGCTCAGAGTTTCGAGGATGTCTCAGGCGAAACGGCCCGGACCACCTCTCGCACGGCACCTCGGGGCTCAGGGTTTCGAGGATGTCTCAAGCGAAACGGCCTGGACCGCCTCTCGCGCGGCGTCCCGGAGCGCAACTTTTCGAGGAAGTCTCAGGCGAAACGGCCAATCCCGGCCAACTCAGAAACGAGAGTTGTGAGGATGTCTCAAGCGAAACGGCCCGGACCATCAAATTGACTTCCCTCGGCCGGAGTTAGTTTCTATCACAACAGCACCCCGTTCAGCAAGCAGTTTGGGGAAAAATTGCAGCCAGAGTGCAGTATCCCCAAACAGGGTTTTTAGACCCACTGCGGTTTCCAAGGTCGATTGCGTGCCCGTCCAGTGCGGGCTGGCTGGCATGGCATGTTAAAACATGCCTCCTCCTCCTCCTCCTCCTCCTCCTCCTCCTCCTCCTCCTCCACCTCCACCTCCTCTTCATCCCGAACGGCATCTCGGAGCCCAGAGTTGCGAGGATGTCTCCAGCGTAACGGGCTGGACCACCTCGCGCGCGGCATTTCGGACTCCAGAGTTGCGACGATGTCTCGGGCGAAACGTGCTGCGAGGAAGTCTCAGGCGAAACGGGCCGGACCACCTCGAGCGCGGCGTCTCAGAGCTCCGAATTGCGGTGGCCTCCTGGG